GCAATCGATCCCTTCTTTCACCCCCCCCCCCCCCCCTCCCGCACGGAGGTCTCTTCGCAACACGACCTCGCGCGCAGCCAGTAGAGGCGCGCCAACGGGCCGGCGGCGCTGGCCCCGGCCGTGCTGTCGGCCGGCCGGTGTCCGCATCTGACTCAGCCCGGCCGCGAACCGAACAATTAGCGCCGGCCGGCCCCGTCGACTTCCGCCGCTCGGCCCCGCCAGGCCGCCGCCGCAGCTGACGCAGATTTTTTCCGCAGCCGGGGCTTGTATCGCCGAAGACTTATAACATCCAGTCTTGGGACAAAGGTCAGTCGGCGGCAGCCGCCAACAAATGGTCACACAGATAAAGGGCAAAAGAGATATTAGGCGTGGTCAACTATTTCAAGCGCAGGAGCAGCTGATGGGAACCACGTTTCGTGGCACTTACTTGGCATCGACAGCGATCCAGAAGTTAGATGATAGCGCTCACAACGTGATTTTCGTCGCACATCGCACCACACGCCTCAATGTTTAGGGACAAAGCCTCGGCATATATCAGCATCCAAAATGTCATCAGCGAGCGGCTTACAGACACCATATTGCCATGCCACAATGAATGATCAGCCATTTGCACTTCACACACACACATAAAAACATAACCGGTCGGGCATAACAAATAAAACGCAGAAACCAGCCAGCGCACACGACTACGAACCACTCATACCTCACCCGTCCCGGTGTAAACACAACACAATACAACACAAAACAACACGATACAGGGCAACACAACACAACACTCGTGCCTTACGGCCCCCATGGGATACGCCTGGCTCAAGACTGACTCGAACCACCGACCTAATAGTCAGATCCAATTGCGATTTCCGACCCTCGGCAATCAAACATGATCGTGCGAGGAATTCGTTAGCTCTCCGACAGTGAGCGACGTTCCATTTCGGTCATTGATCTATCAGTCCGCATGCATATTCGAGCTCGGCGCCTATACAGACACGCAATTGCAACTGTCGCTTCAATCGTCATGCACAACGGCAACACGTAAAGATCACTCCTCAGATTGTCAAAAGCTGATGAATGCAGCCAACCATCACGACCGTCCCGTAATTATCATATTAAGAGAAAACCAAAACTGCTACATCACAAAATAAGATACAACTCCTAAGTACCCAAATCATTAAAAGGACTGGAACCAACGTCAAACTCGGCCAACGCGACCGATTTGCTTCTCAACTTGCCAATCCGTACAGCAAATTAACTGTTCAGTGCCGTTCTAAAACTGGTAAATGTACGGGATCAACTAAACCGATTTTCTACATTGTTGCAAAAATGCCTTTACGAAAGACATCTGCGAGACTTCGAATGCTACCGGCAGTCGGTACAATCATATACTGTAAGTACTAGAGCCATACATCTGATCGCATACTGTCAGGGTTTTTACCTGTGCCACGGAATGGGTACGAAAAGGAATGATGGGTAGGCGTCGGAAGATGATACCAGCTCTGGTACCAACCAAACGTCACGCGTCTGGCACTGAGCTCAGAGCATCGTGGCTGCCGGTACGATGAAGTGCTACCAGTAACACTGAATGAATGCCTTGCAAGATGATACCAGCTCTAGAATCAAACGTCATGCCTCTGGGACTGAGCTCAACCATCGCGACTGGTATGGATGCAATGCCATGTCGCCAGCTGTATTTCAGCACATCTGTAATGCCAGGGCCCTGAGCCGGTGCCAGGCTTGGGTTCAGGCTTATGGTAGTCACGACCCACGCCGAACCCGGTCCTTGTCTGGGGGGCCCAGACCACAGACAGCCAGGTTCATGCCTTTTGGCTATTACAACAGGCGCTTTTGGCCTGTAATCGGACTTGGAGTGGCGCAACTCAAAACAACAATTTTTCTGGGTCACAGACCCGGATCTGGGTACGACGCTTGAGATTGCACTCGGAATCAGACCATAACTCCGACATGCAACATAAAACTGACCACATTTCCAAGATTAGTCGTGCAAAAATGCATTCCCAGGAAAAGCAACACTATCAGTGGTGTAGCTCACGATGTACCGGCCGCACCACAAACACAAACGCAGAACATGTTATATAAGGCCCCAAAAATCCGTTCGGGCTTTATGCCCACCATAGTAAATAGGATATAGCCCGAAAAAGAACGCAGTACCCCCGAGATGCTGTATGCCGAACTATCAATATCGCCTAACCTAGCTTCAAAACTGATCATGTGTCTTGCAACAACAGGCACTTTTACATGCATCGGAAATTGCGAGAAAATACACCTCATTTTCACCGCCCTTTGTAGTTCCTATCCAATGCATGCCCAAAACGCCGCAGCGTCCAATGTCACAGAACATGAATACAAATTTCGACACAAACAGCAAATGTTGATTCACACATCAAATGCAGCTGACACGACGTTTGCGGGGAGTTGCCTGACGGAAGGAAGGGTGTGAACAAGAGCCGACAATGTGGCTGGCATTGACAAGCTAAAAGTGTCCGGCTCCCTATCAAAAGATCTGCTCCTAACCTCTGCAAAGCGAGCCTTCACTGGCCTCGGTTTTCTGCGGTGAGACACGCCAGTACCACAGGCGTGGTGAGCGTCAACAAATGATCGAAATGTTTGTCGCTAGAAACCACACGTCCCTACTGATAACTCAGCATCCAACTTCAGTAGGAGCTGGTGTGGACAAGGTCCATGCTGCAATAGAAGCCACTTCAAAAATGGAAGGCCCGAAGCCTACTGACGCACTGCCATGCCAAAGACACGTATCTAAAGCCTTTCGCTTTGCGGTAAGATAACGGCGGCCCAAAAAACCAAAACATTGGCCAAAAAGTCCCACAGTCTTGCGCGCACCTGCGCACAGCTGCGATAATCCTCGCCCACATGGAGCTAACGCCACTGGTAGCAGCGCGCGGCGGGCGCGCGGCCGCCTGCCGGCGCGTACTCACACTGCCTGGGGGCTGCCCTGGCTCAACAGCCCGTTTCCGTTCATGGGAAGCGTCACTGCGTACTCGCTGACGGCTTTCTCCACACCATTCACGTATAGTGAGGAGCCTGCAACGGAGGAGGGCGGCGTCAGGGGCGGCGGCGGCCGGGTGTCATGACTCAGGCGGGCCGCCGGCCGGCAAAAACCGACCTGGCACGCGGGCCGACGGCCGCCGCACGTGGCCAGCCGGTCCGAGACGGCGCGCCGCGCCCGGCCCGGTCCGCAGCCCTCCCGGCGGCGCCCAGCCGTCAGGACGCCAGACGACGGCGAGCGTCGCCGACCGAACCGGAGGTAGCCCACCCACCGAGGGCGACGCTGACGTAATGACCTGGGCGTGCTGTCCGCTCCTGACATACATGGCATACCACAGCAGCAACAAAACAAAACATCCGCTTAAATCATTCATCCTTTGCTGCACCAATTCAACTCAATTAGTATACAATACTGTTGGTTGTTTAGTGCAATCGCCAGGGACATGGTGTGGATAAATAACACAGCAATCATAGTTTTATTCTACAAGGAATAAGGCCATTAGTAGTGTACTTTTTATAAAGATCACATGCCCTTAAAACAACCATCTCTCCTGCCAGCCAACGAAACTCGAATATGCAACATGCATAGATTGGTCCTTAATCTTGTTTCTTTAGTCTGTCAGCAAGTCTTATACCAAATAACCACAACAAATGCAAAGAAACAAGAAGACCCAAAATACTCAGTGAATGAGTGCCAATGAATGAAATAACAATGCAACCTTATGGCCTAAACACAAGTCTAGCTTGGAAGTTTCTTTCTTTATTTCAAACCCTGCATCAGCTTCAGCAGAAGATGCACTAACAAGATGCCCATGTTATGGTGTGGGCTGAGTGAAATAATACATTAAGTGTTAATCACTAAAGCTGATATTACAACATAGAACATGGTATTCATCATCTTTCAGAAACTCCACAAATGCATTTTCAACATGTCTTGGGATAGCATTCTCTTGTGTGGATAGCTTGCAGGTTTCATGTTCAGATCAAATTTACCAGTGACAGCTTGACTTTCGACCAGCTTTAAATCAAAAGGTCTAATAACTGTGATTGACTAGAGGCCAGAAACAATGACTCAGTTTCACAAAACTAATGGACAACTTACATTCACATAAATTAGTGTTGCATAACCAAATGGGCAAAACATTTTCTAGTCTAGCCCACCCAAGAACACACTGATGACTGGAACTGCGGACTGGCACATTTACAATTAGGGTAAGCCAATGTCTGTACAAAGCAGTCAAATAAAAAATGCAAACCATGAAATATGCCCTAGCTGGGGATGGTAAGCAGGTGCCATCCCACATAAGCCAAGAAAAGTAAGACACCCAAATGACACCCACTTTTTTAGCAGACATTGATACAATTTTCAATCAATGACAGTCTTTATCACAGGCGAAAACAATGTCACAGTGAGGTATCACATACAAATTTACCCAAATGCAAAGAACATGTCCACCAGAGGACAGGTGACTGAGGCAATGCATTCCATCAAATGAGAAGGGCACTTCAGGTACAAAGGGGCAACACATACCCTGTGGGAGGCCCTCAGATAACTAACCTCAGACCTGTTGGTTGAAAGTCAGCCCACATCATCCACAGTAGGCCTATGAAAACAAAGGATGCCCCCCCCCCCCAGCCCAAGAGAAGGCCTTAATTAGACAGACCAAAAGCCAGCAGACCAAGTGGAGGTTTCCATCTGTGATATATACTTAAGAACTGGGGATTAAAAAAACAGTGAGCAAAAACCATATAATTTCAGGTGAGGGTTTGGATAGCAGATCCCATGATTTGCTTTGGAGGACCTTAGATTAGCTTGCCCTCACCCTGGAGAATAGCTACTCACACACTCACCATAACTCCAGCCCTCCAACACTGTAGTTCTACATATGTGCACTCACATGGCTGGCACATACTTTCTTTTTGGGTCCCTCCCATGAATGACAAGTCAGACAAGGAGCCTTACTGGCTGGGAAACCAGGCGAGTGATGCAGTGTAGCTAAATGCATATGTTATTACAACATTACAGTGACAGAAAACAGCCTCAGCAATGATCAAAACACACAGCATCAAGATTCTCTACATCCACAGACACAGATAGCAAACCTTATTATGCATATTCTGATAAGCTGCAAAGAAAAACCAATCAAGCAATATAAAAAAAAGCAAGAACAAGTAAAATAAATTAATAATAAATATATCATACATGAATGATATTGGACACAACATAATTCTTACCATATCCACTTTCATTATCACAAAAACACATCACTTCTTTGTGGCATATTTATGTAGTATGCTGTTATCACCCAAGGAATTGCATTATCTATTGGGGCTTGAGTTGTCATTGGTAATTCAATAATGGTGCTACAGAATGGAAGCTGTTAAAAAAGCTAAAATAGTTATGTACCATTGCTTCAATAATCAATCAGGAAAATCAGGAAGTTTTTAGCAGTGCTTAAAAATTTATTAACACATTTCTGAAGCTGTTCTTACATGACAATGCAACATCTGCTTGAAATAGTATGTATTACATTCTGAATACATTTTGAAATACCTATTCCACCATTCCATCAATCTTGTTCAACATTGTAGCTAAATATGAAAGGTGAAATATCTTTCCTGTGTGATCCATTTTCTCTAATATCACTAGTGCACACACCTTTCTCCATCAAACTGATCATCTTCATGCAAAGATGTCCAAATTTAGCGACAAATTTCTGTGACTCTGAGACTTGCTGCTTCCATCAGGAGCCATGTATTGATAACTTTAAGAGCACAAATCTTGCTCCCACCAGACAAGATGCCCAATAGCAAGCAGCCTGTGTTGCCACCTAGGTATGATAGACATGCATGGAAATGTGAAAAATAAAGCATGTGAATGTTGAATGGAATGCCTTTGAACAAAACTGGGAGATGAGAAACGAGTACCAGAATCACGCCGGTCTGTAGATTAGCAAAGCTCTCACTTCCTGTGCCCTATGCAGACCAACTCAACTTGAACATGACTTAACCTGCCATTGACGACAAACTGCATTAACTGCCAAGGATGCAACAAAGATTCATAGAACACCGCATGCCCAATCACCTACCGCAGACCGCCGCCTACCCACATGCCACCACTGTGTCATGGCAATGCAAATAAGAGAACCACTCGTAATTCAGCGTCGGAAACGTCTCAACTATTCAGCAGCTTGTGCCTGCCCCTCAGCTCTGGTTGGAGGTTGAACATAGCAAAACTCAAATTGGTTTTAATGATTCACCTCCTCATGACTGATTTGTCAAGAGCGTAAATATGCTGCTCGTGCTGATGCCTTGAACAGATTTGTAAACATTTGGAGGGAAGCTGTACAGAGATATGAAGGACTTATTTGTACTCATCCAGGACCCCCATGTGGTTGGATTTTTGGCCACTTCCTGGCAACCGGAGTACAAAAATGTTATGGCAGGTGTCAATTTAAACCAAGTTGGTTTGTCACTTAAGGGTGTGAAATTAAAGCTGATAATTCAAGCTTTACAAAGATACCCTTTTAAGCCAAAGCATTGCTATAAAGAGCCAAAAAACTGTTTGGAGACTGCCATCTCACTCTGGCAAAAACATCAGGACATCAGAGTAACATGAAGCCATAAATTTTGCCCAGCAAATTAAGGGAAAGGGTTTATTAGGACAAAAACATCAATTGATTACAACATAAATTATCCTATTTCCCAATGATATCAGCTTAGGCAAATCAAATCCATAAATACCTTGCATTACCCGCTGGGGTCAGCGGAGTGACCGACTCCGATCCCTTTTGGCCGGCCCACACAGATCTGTCAGGCATTGTACTTGCGTTGGCTCGGTAAATCAGTTTAGAGTGCTGCCTGTCTCTATTGTTCGGGTGGGACATGCAGGGCTTCCTGGTCTTTAAAACCAGCTAGCTGGTGGAGCGTGAGCAGCGTGACCGTGGTGGCGCATGAGTAGCATGATCATGATGGAGCATGAGTAGGTGGCCATCTGTGGCATGTTCATTTGCATTTTTTGTGTACCATTTTTGTCCGGCTGCGTGTATCGTACCCACCCACCGTTTTGGAGGGTGTAGAAGCCCAGTGTGTAACACCCTCCATTTTGGAGGGTGTATAAGCCTGATGTGTAATTACCCTCCATTTTGGAGGGTGTATACACAGAGCCTTTCATAACTTGCTACCAATGTATATGCACATGTGTTTCATAGTACAGACTATAAGAATGTGTTGTTTCAGTGTGCCATGTTTAATACCGATGTTTCCTTTCATTTAAAGTGCTTTTACGTGAATTGCTATATGTGAGTAATGGCGCTTTTGTTGAGTGCTACTCATTGTACTATTGTCTCCCAAATATCACCTAAATAAAGATGTAATGACCCGCAGCACTTGGATAATTTTATACTTCACTATAGAAAATTTGTACTCGGCTGCCAGGAAAATTTTTGGAATTCCCAACACTGGACAGAACTGTGACTCTGCTCAAGACTGTTCACCACACAATGTTGCAGGACTTCATTGAGCAGTAGCAGCCAAGTGCCACCACACCAATTGTTCAAACCTCTTGCATTAAATGTACACAACCAGTGAGCTATTCTGCACCTTGAAAACCCAGCTCCACTGCAGGGGATATTGTATGACACATGAATATAACCACTTCCCAGTCAATGTAAGCTGGCATTAAAAGTAATATTAATTAATTCTGATGTTTGTGGTGCCCACCTGCATTCACACCTCTTCAATTGCTAAGCACAACTTTCTCACTCAAGGATGCTCACCCTACCTGGATTAGAAGCCAGTTTATATTACAATGAGCTTGACCATATGCAACACATAGACCACAGGTATGCATATATCCAGTCAGAGATGCTTATAAAAGTACACCAGGTTTGTGGCAGTCACCTTGCATAAAACTAACTCAGTATCTACTTACCATGATAAAACAAACACATGATTTTCAGACTACAAACTATGACACCATTCAATAACATCTGCTAGGGCTATCACTGAGGCCATATTGCTGCCATTAGAATCAG